GGATTCGAACCCGCGACCCTCAGATTGCGAGTCGAGTGCCCTAACCACCTGGCCATGCCGGGCCCTTCATAATAATAACACTAATAAGCCTTATTTGGGAAACCGGAATTCTCAGCTGGACTTGCGAAAGAAGAGATCTCGTACTTTTAGTTACAATACGATTTTTTGGAGATACATTATTTCAATTTAATGCCAATAAAATTTTACTCTTTGTATTATATAGCAAGCGAAACATATCTGCACTTATACATGTAAATGGATCAGGTGAAACAAAATACCTGAACACTTTATCTTGCATGTAAACTATTCAAAACTGCAGCATGTACCAAACACCTGTTCCAGTAAATAGTACATGCTTTTTAAAACCATTACATGAGATTGAAATACATCAGACAAATAAGATACGTAATAACTTGTGTAGTAAATTTCATATTACAATATTTACATTATTAAAGAAAATATTCATTATTAATTTGGCGGTGGTATTTGCTTAGCTGTTTCCCTAGCTTTGAACTGATTATTTGGTCTAGGAAAAATCCTAGATCATGTATCCCTATCTTTCTAGTTATTCAATTTTATGATACAGCAGTTTCTTAAGGAAAATATTTCCAGTTCTGTGCGCAATACTATCAACAACAAATCAATGTTTTCAACGTAATCTTCTTAAGTTGTAGTGTATTCAAATAGTAACTTTATCTGAGCTCAAGCTTTTGTACACCTATAAAGAACCAGTGACTTCATTACAAAGCAGAAAATAAACAAAATTAAGACTGAAAAAAATCATCGTATAAGACAATGCCTGAAAAGGTAATTTGTGCATTATTTAATGCTTCACAATCTGTACCTAAGCCAAAACATAAATGCTATAATGAACATGTGCTGATCTAGGTTCAGTTGGATACCTTACGGACGTCACTTATAAAGCTAATTACTATAATTATACTACAATCTGTACCTAAGCCAAAACATAAATGCTATAATGAACATGTGCTGATCTAGGTTCAGTTGGATACCTTACGGACGTCACTTATAAAGCTAATTGCTATAATTATACTACAATCTGCACCTAAGCCAAAACATAAACGTTATAACGAACATGTGTTGATATAGGTTCAGTTGGATACCTTATGGACGTCACTTATAAAGCTAATTACTATAATTATACTACAATCTGTACGTAACCCAAAACATAAACGTTATAATGAACATGTGCTGATCTAGGTTCAGTTGGATACCTTACGGACGTCAGTTATAAAGCTAATTGCTATAATTATACTACAATCTGTACCTAAGCCAAAACATAAACGTTATAATGAACATGTGTTGATATAGGTTCAGTTGGATACCTTATGGACGTCAGTTATAAAGCTAATTGCTATAATTATACTACCAACATCTCTGAAGTTAATAAAGAGACATTTCGATTTAAGTTCACCTTCTTAAACTTTCAAAATAAGACAAGCCCAGTTTAATAGTCAGGTAAATAATCATCCCAAACTAGCTCATCTGAACTTCAGTCTTGAAACAAATGAGGAAACGTATTCCACTGGGAATTCAACTTATACTAAGTTCAGAAACTTTATTCCAAAGTGAGCATAAGTAAGTGGAAAATTGCATAGAAATTTGGGTTTCTGTTCTATATCAAGTCCCATCCGAGGTTTCAATTTTAGAATAAAATAAAACATATATATCATATTGGTCTTAATAAAACCACCAGTTAAATATGTACTACCTTGCAATTTAAAATAACAACCATACTAAACACATACCATCTGGAGCTTTAGTTTTCTGAAGAGACAAAGTTAATTATAGCAACCATGTAAAAGTCTTCTGTATTATGCTATATATAATATGACAATTTGGTAAACCGTATATCACCGTTCACTTCAATATATAAAACATATGCCATTTGTGCTTTGAGTATAACAACCATACAAAACACATATTAACTACGCCTTCAGTGTAAAAATTGTATAAAATAGATACAGCTTCCTTCTTCATTATAGTAACCAGGTAAACCGTCTCTGCTTTCATTCACCATTCTGACTCCAGTATAACAATCATGTAAACCACATACGTCTCTTACTTCATTCGCCATTCTGACTCCAGTATAACAATCATGTAAATAACATACTACCTCTGACCTTATTATAATAAACATTTAAATAATACACCGTCTCTGACTTCAGTCTCATAACTGTATAAACCATATATTGTGTCTGGCTTCAGCATAACAACTATATAAAACATATACTGTCTGTGACTTCAGTCTCACAACCATATAGGACATATACCACTTCTGACTTCAATATAATAATTATACAAGATATATATAAATATATATATATATATATGCATATCTTCTTTTACTTCAGTATACCAGCTTCATAAATCATATACTGTCTCTAACTTCAATATAACAACTATATGAGATATATACCTCCTTTGATTACAGTATAACCGGAACTACATTTAGACATTTTAATGTTGCTTTATAGGTAGTGTTATACCACGAAAACTGATCATTTTGGATAATGGTATGTAAAAACCCGTTCCAGTGCAAAATCATTATACATTCAGAGCATAAAGATGTGTTCATATTGGGAATTTAGATTTTCCAAGACAGGCATATCCCTTGAACGTAATGGCATTGGGAAAAAAAAAGGAATATGGATCAACTTAGGGTACCAGGATCGTATAGAAAGAGACCTATAAGAGGTTACACCCCAGGCATGCCCCAGAAAACAATACGCAAAATAATCAAGAATACACAATCAGTCTGGAAAAGTGACAAGAGTCATGAGTATACAAGTTACTTCCACAACATATACAGTCAATTTTGCATGCTTCAAACAGCTGTATAATGAAACTGGTATTCATGCTACTCCATACAAAGACATGCCGGTAAAGTCGCTGGACGCAGCGTCTAAGGATTTTTGTGAGATAGGATTGTTGACATGGGCGCTGAGAAACCGTCACCCTCGTACACTAGATGGCTTATAGAAAGTACACAGGGAGGAGGAGTGTTTTAGACATGAAAGCCTTATGACGGAAATCGAAACTATGCTTCATAATTATTGTCAAGATGCACATTCGTCAGATAGAGCACAAGTGGACGTGCTGACATCGACTGTTACAATGTGATGAGGCTCCAAAATCATTTTAATATAACATTCTCAATCTCTGTACCTTCTGAATCTTCACTACCAGGACCACGAAAAAAAAACATCATTTGGAACACCGATATCACGGTTGAAAAGGCTAAAACTTACCACATTCAGTTTATCTAAGGACAAACCACATAGTTCCTTTAGTCCTTACATACCATCTTTTAACCAGACAGATTACTAGAATTGTCCAACGCAACTTTACCTAACAAGAGACAACACATCTCACATTTTTACCATCCTACCCTTAATTCCTTTCAAACGTGAGAGGAATTTGAAAAGCTGTCTAGTACATTCCAAATTACAAACTGAATCGGCTTTACTTGCACAAACTAACGGCACTCGTCCGTGTGGATGAACTGTTTGCCATACATGCGATTATATAAGATAAAAAATTCCCATATATAGCTTCAATATAAAAGAAAAAGTATACTCCATATCAGTCTTAAGTCTTACAGTCAGAAAAAATGTATCATATCTATATACAATGAAAATTCAGATTTATATAACTAAACAGTGACGAGGCAATTGCTGTAGACAATACAGAAAAAATATCCTTTATCCAGTAGATGTAGGATACACTTTAATTCTGGTTAGATATGTGGTTAGTTGATATAAAACTTACCTTAACTTTGACTAACATATAACTAAGAGATAAAGCTTTCACAAGTTTGGCTAATCAGTATTTTTGGATATTAATAAATCCTATTTTACCTCTGACTACAGAACGAAATTACTCTAACTCTGTATAAAGTAAAACCTACCCTAACTCTGGCTTCAGTCAAGTTGGTCCACATGGCTATCTCCTCTCGGGTAGACATGTCTGGATATCTGTTTCGAGCGAACGTGGCCTCAAGCTCCTGGAGCTGTTGACTTGTGAAGTGAGTTCTTTGTCGTCGCTGTCTTTTCTTCTTTTTGGGATCATCGTCACCAGAATTTTCCTGACTGTCCATGTTTCCCTGACTGGACTTTTCACTGATGGTCCCTGAGTCTATAGGTTAATTAAAATACGTTAAATATAGAGAATGTCAAACATACAGTTAGACACTAACCATGGAACCAAAATATAAGCTATAAGGATATACGAAAAACAACAAACAAACAGTCACAAATAGAGAAGAAGAAAAGTAGTAAGAGAGATAAATATAAAAAGACGAATAAAAAGAAACGATAAATAGATAGCCACATACACAGCTGGAGCGTTACACACATTCAATCAGAAATACAAATAATCTGCACAAATAAAGATATATATAAGAAAAAATGGACTGATCAAAAGATCAAGAGTAAATAGACAAACTCACAGATAGAAACATAGAGACAAAATATGGAACCAGATAACTGAAATCAGCTTATCATAAAAATGCCCGTTAAAGTTGAAATGAACTCTATTTATGGGATCTGTTGAACAAAAACTCTTACCAAATATAAAGAAAGAAAATATCTATATGCTTAAGACCATTAGCCAATACGTTCAAAACGTATAATTTTGTTTCAATTTATTCGATAACGCTGTAATCCAAAAACGTGCTTTGAAACAAAAGCTAGAACAAGACTATACGTTTATCGTACTTTACCTTTGTGGCGAGTTTTGTGTACGATCTAAATAAAGAATCTGTTTAATCTAATACCATCTGATATGTGATTATGTCAACTACACAAATCTATATAAATATAATAGTACTGTCTGTTGTCTGTCCATGTAACTACTTCGCAGGGTTTGGATGGACCTTCACCAAACTTGGTATGGAAGTTCATTAGGTCCATGCGGGGGTACATACAAATTTTCAGTTTTGATTGGCGTTTTTGCTATTTTTACCACTACTTCGCCCCCTATCGATGGATCTTCACCAAATTTGGCTTTAAGGTTCACTGGGTCCATAGAAAGATGCATGCAATTTCACATTTTCTGTTTTGCAGTTTTTATGGGCGTTTTTGCGTTTTCTTTTTACAATTACATATAAGGGAAGCAACTTTTCATGTCCTAAGATAACTTTTCATTAATCATGAATTTATATAACTTCCGTCCAGGAGACGGGTACTCCAGCTAGTTAATGATATTATTGTTATTATTTTACAGAGTCGCTAAGATTTACATACAAATCTACAGTACCAGTTTTGAATATGACAGTTGTTGATACAATAAAGTAAACAAGAGGGAATCCTCACTAGCCGCGGCTGTAATTAGATCTGAGATCTGTCAAGAGATGGAACTATGAGCTAAAAATTTGTACTTAATGAAAAACTCAGAGCCATTCTATGAGCCGCTATGCCGCGTCTGGAAACACAGAACATGAAATAAGTCTTCCGGACAAAATCCTATTCTATAACTCCAGGTATAGTATATATGATACTAAAAGCGAAACTCTGTATGTGTATTGTTTAAACAGTTTAAACAAAGTATAACTGTCAGCAAAATTAAAATAAAGTTTGTTTGTTTGTAATTAAGCACAAAGCTACACAATGGGCTATCTGTGCTCTGCCCATCACGGATATCGAAACCCGGATTCTAGCGTTGTAAGTCCGCAGACATACCGCTGTACCACTGGGGGGGGCTGTATGTGTAATAGTCTGAATTTCTTTACACAAACCAACATTTCAGAAAAAAAAAACGATTTGCTCTGATCAAAAAATAGTTTGAAGATTATTTGTTAATTAAGTACAAAATGCTATGTTACACCAACATACCTCTACCAATTGATGTACTTTTTATGCATTTTGAAAACAAATACTCACTGAAGTAAAAAAATAAGAGAACTTAAATAACTCGAGGAAATAGTGCTTACAGCGCATAATAATCAGAGCACAATAAATATCGTTTACTTTTCATAAAAATATGTAAATTATTTATTGTGAAGCAAGTTTTATGTATTTTTTTATGGAAAATCTTGTTTTACAAATATATATTTACCAATCTTTCAGTCTTGTGTGGCTTTCCTTTCCAACGATCTAGTCAAGCAGATAACGTTAGATTCTCCATTGAAATGGCCGCATCATGGGTTTTGTTATCCAGTGTTTAGTCAATGTAATATTTTAAACGTTACTGTGCATTTTTCCTTTCCAAAATATTAAAAGCTTTCGCTGAAAAATCAAGGCAACTAAAACTGTTTGACAATAGATAAACGTATATATTTATTCTACGTGAACATTTATATGTAATCTTACACACAAGTGCTGCTACATGTGATAGTAAAAGAAACTGCGAGTAAAACACAAACAGTATTCGCTGAAAAATCAAGGCAACTAAAACTGTTTGACAATAGATAAACGTATATATTTATTCTACGTGAACATTTATATGTAATCTTACACACAAGTGCTGCTACATGTGATAGTAAAAGAAACTGCGAGTAAAACACAAACAGTAGCATGACACCATTCGATGGGTATTTTAATTAGTTTTTCCAAGACTCTAGGGTAATATTGTGTCTACCATGTTATGGTATTACGTGTTCCTTTGTGAGACATAAAAATTACCAGTACCCATGACCACTGCCACTTCTACCAGATTTTGTCTCCCTGAAGACTTGTTAAGACAAAGACCGAAAAAAAGAATAACAGCATGGTCGAAAGTAAATCCAAAAATATCCTACTGGAAAGCAGAAACTGTAAGATGAAAAATTATGAAGTGTAATGAAATTGATTGTGACTGATACATGTGTCTTATTAAGTAAAGAAACTGAGATTTTTTTACTTAAAGGTATGAGTAAATATAATTCGATGAAGTGTGTTTGTTTCACCATGAATTAAACATTCAAAAACAAGTTAATTTCTCCATAATAACACCAAATTACTTACGTTAAAAACTAATTTCTCTATAATAACACCAGATTATTTACATTAAAAAAACAAGCTAATTTCTCTATAATAACACCAGATTATTTACATTAAAAAAACAAGCTAATTTCTCTATAATAACACCAGATTATTTACATTAAAAAAACAAGCTAATTTCTCTATAATAACACCAGATTATTTACATTAAAAAACAAGCTAATTTCTCTATAATAACACCAGATTATTTACATTAAAAAACAGTCTACTTTCTCTATAATAACACCAGATTATTTACATTAAAAAAACAAGCTAATTTCTCTATAATAACACCAGATTATTTACATTAAAAAAACTACTTTCTCTATAATAACACCAAATTATTTACATTAAAAAAACAAGCTAATTTCTCTATAATAACACCAAATTATTTACATTAAAAAAACAAGCTAATTTCTCTATAATAACACCAGTTTATTTACATTAAAAAAACTACTTTCCCTATAATAACACCAGATTATTTTCATTCTAAAAATTAACTAATTTCTCTATAATAATGCCCCCCAGTGGCACAGCGGAATGTCTGCGGACTTACAACGCTAGAATCCGGGTTTCTGGGCAGAGCACAGATAGCCCATTGTGCAGCTTTGTGCTTAACTACAAACAAACAAATAAACTCTATAATAACACCAGATTATTTACATTAAAAAGATAAACTAATTTATCCATAATAACACCAGATCATTTTTATACGAATTGGCTAAACAATTGCTTAAGACTATTTGCTGACCTTCTGTTGTATATCATAATCAATACTACCATTTTACATCATCAGTGGTATTATTTTATGAATGATTGTTATTACAGCTGGCTAAGCGACCAGGTCAGATCCCTTTAAAGTTCAGGAATAACCGTCCCTAATTTTGAACTACTGATCCGAGGAAAGGCTATCAGACAGCAGCACCCTCCGTCACCGAAGAGTATTCAGTGTCATTACAGTCGAACCTTGGACTCTGCATGATAACTACTTGGCCACACCTGGCACACATAAACATGTAAATTAACAACATGTTTATTCCAAAGTAATAGAAGTCAACTACATGTTGTATCTAAGTCGCTTAATTGACATTACTAAAAATTCATTATGACAAGTGCCATAAGAATACATAAGTTATAACTTCCCAGCCATTTGTTTTTGATTGAATGTTCTGTTGAAAACAAGACTAATTTCGTCAACTAAAATGAAATTATTGAAAACAATATTAATCTCGTCAACTAAGGTAAAGTTGTTGAAAACAAGACTAATCTCGTCAACTAAAGTTGTTTAAAACAAGACTAATCTGTCAACTAAAGTGAAGTTGTTGAAAACAAGACTAACCTTGTAAACTAAAGTTGTTTAAAACAAGACTAATCTCGTCAACTAAAGTTGTTTAAAACAAGACTAATCTCGTCAACTAAAGTGAAGTTGTTGAAAACAAGACTAATCTTGTAAACTAAAATTGTTTAAAACAAGACTAATCTCGTCAACTAAAGTTGTTTAAAACAAGACTAATCTTGTCAACTAAAGTGAAGTTGTTGAAAACAAGACTAATCTTGTAAACTAAAGTTGTTTAAAACAAGACTAATCTCGTCAACTAAAGTTGTTTAAAGCAAGACTAATCTTATCTGCAATTCAAGGTTTCCCAAACATAAGTTGTTATACAAAAAAAGACAGATATAAAACTCTCACAGATCTGTTTTTAAATCCGACTATAATGCTAGCCTGTAACATTATTTCAGTGGATTTAGTTTAAAAGACTGTATTTAGGTAAAGTACTAGTTACAAGTAACGTTGTTACATTTCTCTTACAACATCGGTTAGAAAGAATGCATCCTACGCCTAGCGCAAAGATAACGATACACACAGATTTATGTGTCTAATTGCTGTAAAGATATATATATGTTCATATCGGAACTCAAATCTATAGATAAAAAGGCATTATCATGTTGTTATCTATATACATCATGTTGCAGTGATCATACACGTGGGTTCGAACTTTAATTTATGTATTTTACCCATGAAAACCTCACAGATATCACTAATACAACGTATATTTGAACACATGCGATTCAAATCATGTTGTTATCTATATACATCATGTTGCCGTGATCATACACGTGGGTTCGGACTTTAATTTATGTATTTTACCCATGAAAACCTCGCAGATATCACTAATA